GTGTGTGTGTGTGTGTGTGTGTACTTGTTCCATTGATGACTTTATATTTTTTGTACTGATCCAGTTAATGTTCAAATTGTAAAATTTTTGTTTAATATAAAGAAGTTTCCAAACCTCACTCTGTAGCAGGGGTGGTTCTAGGGGCGGGGCCACAGTGGCATTGGCCTCTGCTAAAATCTGATTGACAAGAAGAAAAAAAATCTGATTGGCCCSCTGAAGTGTCCCTGTCCTGTCACTGATCTGTCCTTTGTCAGAGAGCAATGATGGTGGCTGCAGTTCCATGTTCAAACACTAGAGGCGCCAATGAGTCAAACAGAAAAGTGCTGCATGAATCAATCTTACAGAAGTCTTCTTCTCTTCTTTAAAAGATTTGAACAAACCTGCAGAAAATTTATTGCAACTGACAAACAATGGCTTCCCTTTCTCACATGCTTTGTGTTTGAGAATATTTTATCCATGTACAGTTAAAATGCATGTAAAAATCGATAAGGAGCATTTACTGTGCCAGCTTTTTTAACATTACATTACGTTACAAGTGTTGGAACATGTGACTGGTTAAATTTAAACACTTTGCCAAGACCAAGGATTTATGTGCAAGAATGCTGAACAAATACTTGGTCCTTCTATGAATATTGTGGCCCCTTATGGCCCCTTATTCAGAAAAATCCTAGATCCACCACTGCTTTGTAGGTCTGTTTGTCTCCAACTCATGAGCTGTTTCAGTTTAAAATGTTTAAAATATTTTTTATAAAAGCAGTTTGCAGCCCCCTCTAAACCAGGGGTTCTCAAACCTTTTGGGTCTTACAAGGATGAAAAATTTGCAGGGACCCCCCTCATAAACCATACACAGTTTTAAAAATAATTTACTATCATTTTATCCCCTAAATGCCATGGGAATATTAGTTTTTGATGGATTTAGTATGTTTGTTTTGCTAGTGCATTTCCCCCCATATGCATCTTTTAATGAAAAAACAAATGAACAATTTATTGACATTTTTTGAGGACCCCCAAGAAATGTCTCAAGGACCCCTGAGGTCCCTGCATCTTTTTACATTTCTATACATAATGCATATTTTCTGACTTCATAGTTTGTTCCCTGCACAAGTTTAACCCATAATTTAGTCACAGTCACTGGAGGCTTTTATTGTGAAGGAAGTGCAGTTGAAAACAGAAGCTTGAGAAAAATCTGGATTTTAACAAGTTATTTACAATGTGTGTTTTTATTACCTTATTTCTCAGCTTATTCTTTGTTTTTCTTCTCCTTCATAGACCACCCTTCAATTGTAAATACATCCAAAAATCACAACGGTTTTAAACTTGGACATTTAATGGGAGTTTTGGTTGATCCAGACTCCTTCAGTTCTCTCCTGGTCTGGTTCCTGATGCTTCTACATACAGTATTTATTTCATTCTGATCTGCAATTATAACTGTAACACTGTCAGCATAAGCAGGAGCAGCTCTTTATACACTCGTCATGATTTCATCTTTCTCTAAAGGGACTAATTGCCAGAATATGAAGAGGGGTGTTTCAGGGGGCAGCCTTGTTTAAAACCTCGAGACGCTTTAAAAGCTTCTGTCAGGAGCCTGTTTATGTTCAAAGGGACTGTGGATTTAATGAAATCATCTGGAAACCTTATATCTTTGAAAACTGCCTAAAAATATTCAAAGAATCAAAAGCTTTTTCTTTGGTTTAAACTGAGGATATAAAAACCTGTACATTGTTTTGAAATTATTTCTATTGCTGTGCACAGATTGTCTCACATCAGAAGTCCTTTGATAGATACAGGTTTCTTTTTTATTACATCAAATGCATCATTAGATCTGTTGAAAAAAATGTATAGTCAGCATTCATTAATGTTAACTGTCAATTATTATTTTTTTCACATTTTTTAATACAATATTTCTCTGGTACAATTATCCACCTAAAACTCCATTCTTGAATCTAGTAAAAACACAAATTAAGAGATCAAACAAAGTTGATACAACTCTGCTGGTAAACCATCAGGATCTGGAGATTTCCCACTATTTAGCTGATTTATTACTGTGACAACTTCATTTTTTCTAATCTCACTTTTAAAAGTAGAAAATACATCTGACACATAGAGTCATCAGAGCATAAACCTTCAAACATTTGTGAACAAGTTTTAAAAATCTCACATCATTTCTCAGCTTCAGTAAAACTCAGATCACCACCTTGATCTTTCATAGTATAAAGCTGCTGCTGCATTTTTTCCATTTCTTTTTCACTTGTAGAGAGAATATGCAACAGTTTTATTACTAGCAGATAAAAGTCCACTTGTTTCGAACATTAATTTTCTTATTCCTCTGATCTGGTTTACTATTTGACAGCCATGTATACCCTCATGTTGTGGTTACATGTCATTTGTTCGTACATTAAATTCACATTTAAATGAAAAGTAACCTTCAACCCTCTCGTTCACTGTGTGTGTTTTCCAGGTCCAGGCATAGCGTTCGTGGTGTATCCAGAGGCTCTGACCAGACTTCCTCTGTCCCCTTTCTGGGCCATCATCTTCTTCCTCATGCTCCTGACTCTTGGACTTGATACCATGGTAACTGCTCTTTTACTGCAAATATGCCGTTCCTATGGCTTCAAAAACTGAGCAAATAATGATGCGAGAAAGGAAACTTTGTATCAAAAAATGGATTTCGGGAACACCAAAAGCAGGTGTTCAAATGGAACTGGCATTATGCTGTGTACTGAATTTAGCTGACCTAAATATCTTTGCAGTGAGCAGAAATATCAAGACTCATCAGATTCTGCAGAACTGGATAAGTGATAAATGTTTTGGCCACTTAGGAGCAGATGTTGCTCATTATGAACTCCACAGATGTGGTTAAAATAGCTTTGACGAAATGTGGGATTAATAGTGTGTTYGTGAAACAAAGTGGGGTGTGTTTCCTATAAGGAAATCTAACAAAAAAGTACAATGTCTAAATAACTCATCCATGTTACCCATAAAGGTTTAAACCCTGTAAATGTTTATTTACTTAMATTAAAATGATTCTGACACAGCCTTCCTTTGAAGCAAAAGAAGAGTCTGTTCTAAATTTTCTAACATTGCAAAAAAAATAGTTCATGATTTTGTTTGCTCTAGAGAAAACACTCAGCTGTAGTGGTAGCATCAAGTCATGTGTAAACACCGCAGGCTTTGACCCAATTATCATAATTACCCATTGGAGCCACCTGCTGGGTCTGTCTGCGCTGCTGCTGCAGCTCTCAGGTAGCTGAACTGAGCATGTCTGTGGGAGGAAGTTGATCTGTAAGTTTGGGAACAACAGTGATTCAATTATTTCATGTTTRTCTGTCAGAATTATCTGCATTCATATAACTTTTTTCTTCTTTAAACTGAATTTTGATCATTAAAATGAAAGATTTGTGGAAACAGTAATTTATTAAAATAATTATAAAATAAATTAATCTTTATTATTTATTTTTTTTATTTAGAAATTTATTAGTTTCACTTGTAACAATTTTATACACAACAAAGAACAAAAAACATGCAAAAAAATAAAATAAAATAAAATGAAAGGCAGCAGAAGAAGAATAAATCTTTGCAACTTATTTGCAACTATGTGGCACCAAATATGAAAACTGTTTTGGTTGTTTTGAAAAATATTTTAAATTACCATGAAGCAGCTATATATTTACAGAGCTTATATCTCGGCTGTGACAAAACTGTGAAGAAAATTCACATTTTCATTTGGAATCACACTTAATTGGCACGTATGACAYATTTATTTACGTAAACAACTGCAAATAAAATTGCCACAGTCTCCCAACATATCTGAAATAAACGTGCAGTTTTTTTGTCTGAATTAATTCACAAAGCATCATATTTACACAGAATTGCAAAAAAAAAAAATCTTGTTGACAATTTAAAACGATTTGCAAACTTTCGCTCGAATGTCTTTGCAATTTGTCGCCAACAGTCACAACCCTGTGGGATTATTTTAACTACTTTGTTGCATGCATTTCTCCACACTGAAATCAGARTTTGACCCCAACCGATGTGAGTGCAAATGTTTTGGCGTGAAATGAGAGTTTCTTTGAGGGCAACTAGAGACCCGCCCACATCAAGAACCTTCCACATAAATATATTTTAACACACGAGAAACATTTAAAGCAAAATGAAATAACAGCAAGTTAATCAGACACTCTCTGATTTATTTTACCGGTACAATCCCCTCATTCTGTCTGAGTCATTGTGTCCTTTGGTAAGACTCTTCACCTGCCTTTATTTGCGCAGGTGGATGGCAGCCCGCCTCTGTCAGTGTGCCACAAGGCAGCTCTGGCTACAATGTAGCTTACCACCATCAGTGTGTGAATGGGTGAAGTGCRGACTTGATAAGGTGCTATAAGTTCAAGCTTTTTTACCCTTTACAGTTAACCTGCCTAGTTAATTTCCTTATTGTTCATTCAACATGTTTCCCATCATAATTTTATACTTTAAAACCACAGAGATCTGCACAAATAGATGCCTAAAATCCCACAACAACAAAGACTAACGGCTCAGTTTTAGTCTTTCATGTTAAAAATATCAGATTTTGTGTCGTTCAGTTTATGATTTTGGATTATTAAGCCGCTCAGCATTGTGTTTTAGCAGAACACATACTGCAGTCAACAAAATAGCTTGGATAATGTTACTGTCCAGGAGCCCCAAACTGGAGAAAATCTACTCCTGATATTCTCCTCAGCACATAGATAATTATTTTCTTCCTATAAAAAATGCTTTTCTGTTTTCTCTGAAGCACGTCTTTCATCTGCTTGCAGCTCCCCCCGCCAGTAAATCTGGCTGCAGTTCGTGTCATTTTTTATAATCCTCCAATATCTACAACTACAGTATATATTACAAAGGTTAATTGTGTCAGTTACTGCACTAATTCACATGATTTAGCTTCCAGTAAACAAACATTTCAATCTAGGTGAAGTGGGTTTTTTTGTTCAGAGCACCTTCCATTATGATCCTGAGCAAACAGTCCCTCATAACGTACCCGACTCCCTCCACTGAGATGCTCCTGAGCCGAGCAGACGGCAGAGCGAGGCATTAAGACACAAGTCAACAGAAACACTAAATGATGATGTTGTTTTGCCTTGGCAGCAGCGGCTCAGAGGCGAGGGCTGGCAGCTTTGTTGTAGGAAGYAGCTCGGCGGTAATAGGCTTGGGATGTTGACAGGAAATTAGTTTTGGGAGCTCAGGAAAGAAGAAGTGGAACTGGGAAGTGGCAGATTGAGCTGGGTGCTGGTRCATTCCTGCTGTATTCTCACACATTTTCCTCACATGACACTGACCTCTTTAAATGGGTCTGTTTATCTATTCCTTCACTCATCTCCTCTGGGTTCAGAGCTGCCTTCACCATTTCCTTTTTTCTTTTAGACTGACTTCCTGTCAGGTTGTTTCTCTGTAAGCTTAAATCCACTTTTTTAATCGAATCACAATAGTGTACATTGCATTGGCAATGCACACTATTGTGATTTGTTTCCCATCGAAGTCATCTCCACTTTGGCACGCTTCTGCTCCTGCATACTTTGTCCTAGAGCTGCCATTTTAATTTATATCTGTAAAACCCCTGTGCCAAATGATGGCTATGCCTTTTGGTGCCTATACAACTTATACATTTTGAAATATTAATGTTTAAAATCATATAATGGCAGTCAATGGAGCCTTGTATTGGTCCAATATTGCCCCTTGCTGTAAGTACTCAGTACTGAACCATAGTTTAATAATATTTAAACTCATTAATTCAGTGATTACAAGACTAATATGATTGTATTTTGATGTTTTACTAAAATATTGTCCTAATTATACTCTATTGTTGTAATATTATGCAGTTCTGTGTCAACAATTGCATTGGCAATGTGGCCTATTTCTGCACACATACAAACCAACCCTTGGCAGTACAACTTATACATTTTGAAATATTAATGTTTAAAATCATATAATGGCAGTCAATGGAGCCTTGTATTGGTCCAATACTGCCCTTGCTGTAAGTACTCAGTACTGAACCATTGTTTAATAATATTTAAACTCAGTAGTTCAGTGATTACAAGACTAATATGATTGTATTTTGATGTTTTACTAAAATATTGTCCTAATATTACTCTATTGTTGTAATATTATGCAGTTCTGTGTCAACAATTGCATTGGCAACGTGGCCTCTTTCTGCACACATACAAACCAACCCTTGGCAGTACCATCTGCCACAGTTCCAATAGTCTCATTAGTTAGTGCCATGGGCATTCATGTGGGAGATCTGGGTTCAAAACCCAGCTACAGCAACTTTAACAAAAAATCACTACAAACTTCATATTGTCACACAATTACCATTATTACAAACACCTGCTGACTTGACARGCACAAATTGGTATAGAAAACACATTTGAACTTGGTCACAGTTCATTCTGCAAATCCAATGCTGCAGGCAAAGCCATGCTGCAATGACATGCTACATGGCAATGCACACTTGTTTTTACATCGTAAAAACCCATGTCTAGTTTGTATTGGTTTCCTCCTCGCACCCAGAATGACAAATATCCTTTGAAATTCTTTTGGAAGGGAATTCAATTACTGTAAATGYGCACAAACTAAAGACAAATGCTCCACAGCAGTAGATGGTGAAGTTTTGACAGCATCAGCTGCACAGATTTAAATGAGGTAAACTTGCCAGCTGCAGGCTGTTAATTCTGCAGTAGCAAGAAACAGGATCAGTGATGAGCCGTTCTCCCACTCTTCTCCCCTGTCTCCTCRTGTTTCTCTACTCCTCCCGCTCTCTTCCTCCTCAGTTTGCCACCATCGAGACCATCGTAACATCCGTGTCAGACGAGTACCCCAAATACTTGAGGAAACACAAACCAGTCTTCACTCTCGTCTGCTGCATTGCTTTCTTCATCCTGGGCTTTCCCATGATAAACGAGGTACACACAGAAATATGAGCAGCTTATCTGCACGCAGAACAAAGCTGAGTTCTTTAGAGGCCCGGCTCACTGAGTGGAAGAAAACTCATCATTTAGGGAAAATCCAGTCTAATGTYGGCTTCTTACTTTTAAATTCCTGTAATATGACACACTGTAATATGAGCTTTAGATAAAATGTTAAATAGTTGTTTTTTTAATGTTTTGTTTGTGTGTTTGCTGTTACAGAGTGGGATGTACATGCTGCAGTTGGTGGACACATATGCAGCCTCCTATTCTTTGGTCATCATTGCGATCTTTGAGCTAGTTGGGATTTCCTACCTTTACGGTGAGTGCATGAGTGCAGCGTAATCTGCTACTTCAGCATAAATTTGTATCAATTAAAATACTAGAAATGAGATCTGGTGGATTCTAATGTTGTAGTAATTTCATTTAATGGGAAAGATCAGGTTTGTAAAGAGGTGTGCTGATTTGCACACATGAGAAATCCACTGGTGGGCAGAAACAGTCAATAATGGATGGGATGCTAAAGAAGAGAATTAACTCATTATTAACAAATTTAGTTTGAACAGATCATGCTGAACAGCTTAACCCTGAGAGTTTTGTGGTGGTACTTTATGATTCTGACCAAGACTACCTGACGACCCAACACTTTGTACATTGATTCGTTTTTTTTCTACATGTTAAGAATTTATTATCCAGTACCAAATCCCATCACTTTGCACCATGAATTTGTGGAAATCTACAAGCTCCTTATGAATTTACAGAYTATTATAGTTTATAAAGAAAATGTGAGTACTTTATTAACTTTGTTATTCCACCTGCAAAAAATAAAAATAAAAAATAAAAAAAATAAAATAAAAATCTCACCAGTGAGCAACAGCATGTCACTGTTTTAGTTGTTTTACATTTTTCAAAATATGTTGGGGTGGGATATATTRTGTTCAAAAACAGTTATGTTAAAAGCCTGCAATGGAAAGCTAAACAAACTAAAAGTTTTGCATTCCTTAAAAGAATGCATATCTACTGCCTTTCATGCCACTTACTCTTATGTTGAGAAATAATGACGTTATTGCAGCTCTTTTGGTCAAATATTGAAAGTAACACAATCTACAATGTCCCAATGAATCACAAAATGTTGCTGTGCATTGTACTGATACTAAGGTATGTTTGAGATGACAATCAGCTACTACCACGTCAAACTTTAGCTCAATATTTTAAAAAGAAAATAACACATTTATAAGTATTTTAATAAATTCTGTATTTTTTCCCTGTAAGATCACTTAGCTGTGGCAGTCATCTATAAATCGGTTTGACCAGGAATATTAAGCAGTTTTAGATTATTGCTTCTTGCATATTAAAATCCATCCACTGGTTCATGAGATGTTTCACTTACAGACAAATGCACATAAAATAAAACTTGCTGTCCACTTTGGCCTTTCAGTGGCAGGTGATGTAAATCATAAAGGGYGAATGGTCAATATCTGTGACTTCTTGTGGTGGTTTGTAACACTCCCCCCAGTACTTTTGTTTAAGCACACCAGAGTGCCTCAGCAGCAACATCAGTTACATCTGGGAGACTGTAATGATTTTTGCAGGCCTTTCAGAGGAAATTGGGTTTTGCCCCAAATGTCCTCTATATGTTAGTCTGTAAATGTCTTTTGATATCCCCTGTGCGACCACCAGGGGTCTCTGTTGTGACGTACAAGTCAAATGTGCACCCGTCCAGGGACTCAGGTGTGTGTCAGGAGGCTTTTACCAGGAGACGAGGCAAGCAGCTTTGCCTCAGTTTGTCAGAACATCAGTACAGGTGACGTATTGAAATGATCAGGTGACTCTGCCACTTCATGTCACTCACTGTTATCCATCAATAAGAGCAGAGGAATGAAGCCATCTGCTCCCTCACGCATTTCCCCAAGAATCTGATACTCTGACAAACACATACCTACACACACATGCAGACACACACACACAGAGATGTAAGATGGATGGAATTTGCTGATCTTTTTTTTAAGAAACCTTATTAAACCCAGGTCACTCACTGGGTCTTCACTTTCCCTCTTTCTCTCATTTTTCTTCTTAATTTTTTTTCTCTTCCTTCCTT